CACATGGATTTATAATAATAAGATTGTAGTACAAAACCATCAAATTAAATAAAAAAAAATCACATATTAAAAAATTCAATGAAAATAATGGTTATAAGCTTGTTAATCTAGAAGGAGAAGGATAGTTGGCTTTGATCCAGGAAGGAAAGAATTATTTGTGTCTAATAATGAATGTTATACACTTGCATAGTTCAAATATGCAAGATCAAAAAGAGAGTTGTGGCTAAAAAAAAAACACAGTTTCATTGAAGCAGTTTTCAAAGATTCACCAACCTCTGCTGCCACCAGTGCTTATGAGTGCTGTGATTGATTACCTTCAATATGTCCTTTGGATATTTGATCAAGTTCTTCTATTCTATGCAGAATGTCACTGGCACCTTTTATGGTTGAAATCACATGTCAACTGACAAAAGGCGTTTGATGTCAACACCTGGTGCATTGAAATATTAATACAGAGTTTTAATTTAACATCCATCCCAAGGAAATGCCCTTAGTTTAATAAAGAATTCGAAAAAGAACTAGCAGAGAGGTGTACATTGATGGACGTTACGCCTCAAAAATATGTCCAAAATGTCATGAGCAGTTTGTAGGTCGGACAGAGTGCAAGACAATTTGGAATTGGAATATTAATATATTCTCATAGAAAAACCAGAAGGATTTTCAAGACCTGTACGACCGCAAAGTTCTAATATTTCGTTAAACTTGTATCACAATATTAATAATATGCATTATATATAATAAATTTTTTTTATGAAAACACTAAATTATTAAAACTTAAAAATGACAAAAATGACAAAAATGACAGTAAATGAGTTTTCTGAATTTGATAAAAAACTAAACGAACTGCTTGAAAGAAAACCACCTGGGACTAGTGCCTCAAAAATAAAAGATCTAACTAAGATAGCTTTGAATAGCCCAAAGGTATGAAAATTTTATTTTCTTTAGATTAAAATATATTATCCGAGAAATTCGAGTTCGTTCATCAGAGTTGGGCGTAAATTTAAAATTAGAATCAATGTTATTTAACTGTATTTAAAATATCATTATTCATAATAACAACAACAATAGTAGTAGATTCTTCTTTAAGAATCATTAATTATATAATATATTCGTTCGAAAAAAAAAGAAAAATTTTTTTTACAATTCATATTATAATTTACAGCAATACAAAAATATTGTTCACAGTATACAGAAGTTTATTCAAAGATGCCCATCTGATTATAAATTGGGAGCATTATATGTGTTGGATTCAATATCGCAAACGGCTCA